GTCATTTACATATTATCACAGGCTTTGAAGATGAACCCCCGCCACACATTAGTGTTTTCACTCTCACATGTACTGGACCAAAATCAGATTAAAATCTTGTTTGTTTTTCTTACATACCTCTCCTAAAAAGTCCTACCTGTCTGCTCAACTTTTCTCTGTAATCAAGTTTTTTTAAGCCTCTTCCACCAAAAAAACCTTTTCATATCAGGGCTAAACATTTTTTTAAACAATTCTGTCTGACTCATATTAATGAATGGCCGTCATTTTTCCGTTTCATAAAATATACCGTTGCTGTGCGTGTTTTTTTTTTTTTTTTTTTCCCAAAGCTTTTACCATCAAACTTTCAGCAGCAGCAGACGTGATCTATCATTCTCATTACCAAACCGGACGTTTGGGAATGATAAGCAGCAACACTGGTCATCATACAGAACTATTTACAAAACCCACTTATCTCAATAGAAGCTGATGATTAATAGATGTGACTGACTTTATTTCAGCGTTTCCTAAAGAGATAGTTCAGGTCTTTTGAAGCGTGGCCGTCGAAGATTAGACATTATCAACACGGGCTGCACGTGTCTGCAGCTTTGGACTTGGTGTCTGGTAACAGTGCATTCACTCTCACTGATAACATGGCTGAGAGTGGGGGGGGGACGACAAAAACATTTGCATCAAATTATACTTTCTGAAAAGGTTCAACAGTGAAGTTTGCGTTCAAACGTTCACTCTTAACGCCAAGAGAAAATCGTTCAAAACATGGATTTAAAATCAGGGCGTGATGTGATTTCTGACACTTACTCCACAGAGGCTGTTTGCTCTTTATCCCTGTGAGAGTTAATCAGTGCGAGAGTCTCCTCCCGGTGACGGTGGGGAAGTTGTTTTGCATTTCTAACTCCTGTCTCTCTTCTAAAGTGACTCAGGATAATGATAGTGAGCTGCTGCTGCTGCTTCAACAAAGACGGCACATTATCAGTACAATTACCAGGCCAGGCAACGGCCAATACAGTCAAAGGTGGTCTGGGTGAAGTCGGGGCAAAATTGATCTCCCCCGACAACCGAGGTGCAGCAGCCTGTAATAAAACATATAAAAAATGTAAGGCATTTTAAAAATAATTAAATATTGAAATAACATGTTTGCATGAGCACCAGCTGTAATATGAAGCTAGTATTGAAATAACACATTGGCATGAGCACCGGCTGTAATATGGAGCTATATATATATATATGTGTGTGTGTATGTATATATGTATGTATGTATATATGTATGTATATATGTATATGTGTGTATATATATATATAATTTATCATACACACACATATTCATACATATATGTATATATGTTTATATATAACATTTTACATACACACATGTATACACATATATGTATATATATATGTATGAAATATATGTATGAAAACACTATTAGGAGTTATCCCTAAGCCAGCTCTTGTTATTAACTCTCAATATATATGTGACATATATTTTTGTTTACCTTACAAACACAGAGCTGGCATCATCTCAGACACCAAGTGTCATTAATGTAAGTGAATAAGTCAGTGTATCATCTGAGGTCCTCAGTGACACAGCAGTCCTACAGTGTGTTTGATGGTTCGTGTTGTGTTCATAAAACCAAACACACAACCGTTTGGTTTTTTTTCTGAGCTTATTTGGCACCAATTTTTTCTGAGCGTATTTGGCACCAACAGCATCGGGGCCACATAAAAGGAGAAACCTGAGCTTACTCATCATCAAATGTACAACCGAGGAGACCAGAGAAGCTTCCAGAAGATGTAAAAAAAAAAAAAAAAAAATCTTTACTACCTCACATAAAACTCTTCAGTACTGGGTTACATCAGTAGCCAATGTGGTCTAGATTAGCCCAGACCTGGTATGGAAACATTTTCCTGCACACACACACAGTAGAGCCTCAGGTAGGTCTTTTAAAGCTTGATGTGTTTTAAAGTACACACACACACACACACACCGCCAGTTTCTCAGTGTGTGTGTGTCTCTCACTCAGTCGGTTCAGACAACAGTCACTTCAGGCCTAACGAGTCAGCCTCCACGACACCTTTTATGACCGAACTAATTACTAATTACACAAGTGGTTGACGTGAGCCGGCGCACAACACTGGCCTTTTGTTATTTTAATTGTTGTTATTTTGAAGAATGGCACTTCAGTAAATTGTGCCTGGGATGCCCTGGGAGGATGGATGAGCCCTGAATAATTTATCATCTTTGTGGAAACACACTCAGCGTACAGATGGGGGGCGGGGGAGTGGTGTAGTGAGAGTGTGTGTGTGTGTGGGGGGGGGTTGTTGCAAAGCGCCGCACATCTCCATTCTTGTTACGACTGCGGTCTCATCAGGGATTGATGATGAGGTATCTTTCATCGTCCGACCACATTTTGTTGCACCCCGTCATTAGGGGGCTTCCATCGCCTTGTCCGTGGCACGCTGGATGAAGGTGACTGGCAGGGCTGCCCCCCCCCTTACTCTCTTTCCATGCTGTGACTAATTACACCAGCCAATGGCTCCCCTCCTGATGGATTAATGTGTACGGAGTGAATGGGATACGACGACACCTCCCCGTCTCCCCCTCTCTTTCATGGGATCAGCGACGAGCGCATCCTGGATCAGAGCTGTGCGCCGTGCACGGCCGTGATAATTATTTTCATAGATGAATACCATCGCAGGCAGGATGATGAAGTGGCCATTTGCGCTGGGAGACTATCACATGCAAACACAGAGCGGGGTCTTTGTCGGGGGTGTGAAATCTGGTCCTGCACAGACCTGGATCCCCTTCATCTTTTCTGACGTCTGCGCTCGCACACGTCCTCATGCAAGATCTCCAATATTTATTTCATGTCCAAGTTCCTGTGGCCACGTGAATGTTCACAGAACTTAAACCCAAACATATTAAATATGAAAAGTCTTGGAACATGACACAGTGTCAGACCTGTCTTTGTCTAAGTTATTTATTTGTTATTATTATTATGTATTTTGACAGTTTCTCCTAGGTTAGTATCACTATATCAAATACATGAGTTTTACATTTCAATTTTTGCTTCATGTTTCTGCAGTACCTTTATTCTATTCTGTCTTCTTTTGCTCTGCACATCAGCCTATTATTTAATATTTGCCTAATATTTGTGAGGATATTTATGGCACATATCTAAGTCAGCTGCAGATGCATCCAGAAGCAGAAACTCTTCTGTGTAAATGTTGTAAAATAGTTCCTGTACTATTTCACAAATTCAGTTTCAATTTCATTATTTGTCACGTTACTAGTGGTTGAATATTTATGCACCAGATCATACAATAACTCTCTTCTAACCATCTGAAAGTTAAATCGTTAATTGACCTTTTTATCTATTTCATTGCATCATCCACCATACCACAATGATCATCAACCCGTGGCTCGCAGGCCTAATATGGCCCGCCAAACTGTCCAATCCGGCCTGCAACAGGATTCCAAAATTGTGTGGATCATTTACGTCTCTATTTACATTCTTTTAGACTCAGTGCTGAGTCCCGGCCTTAATGAGCCCCTGTTACTGTTGCCTAATTATAGCCTGATCCTAATTGATGTGATATTCAGGATGAAATAATCATAGTTTTTCTCAGTCAGATTGACTGGATGGACGTGCTCTTGGAGTTGTGTTTGTTTACTTGTTTAAAGCCCCTCTCCCTCCTGGAGGCCCCTGTGTGTGTGATCGTTGGTGTTGAACTGAAGATTTGTGAGGAGCCCCCGGCCGGGGCAGCGTTCAAGAGCTGAGCATGTAAAGTGTTCTGGGCTACTCCCGTCACAGTGTATGCAACTAAACCCATAAACAGCGTCTCACGACACCTTAACAGGAGTCACTGCTGCCACTCGCGAACCACAGTTTTGCTTTGGCGGTTAAAGACCTCTATTACTCCAGTACTTTACATTTACAAATATGACCCTTTTACTTATTTGCTTTTGCACGTTTCAAATCTTGCATTTAAATGACACAGAGGAGACGTTAGAGAGAGTGGGTTGTGGTCGGTTTTGAAGTATTTTCTTCTTTGACCTTACAGCGTGATGTTCAGACTCTCTAAGTGTTTTTTCTCACGAAAAGATTAAGAAAAAAAAAGTTGCGTGTTTCTTCGACTTCATGCTCCACTGCCCGACTTTTGTCTCACCATGAGGAACCATGTGCTTGTTGTTCCTCCCTCCCCACCTGAGCTGTTAATCACTAACACATGGCCTGATTTTACTTTGTGACAAGTAACAGGTTTGTGGTAATGTTGAGTATAAATTAAAATACTTTTCAAATATGTAAATGAAGGAATTTGGTGCCGTAATGAGGCGGTTTTCGAGCCAAGGGTAATGAATATTTTAGTCAAGAGCTTTGATTTTCGTGAAATCATTTATCAAAACAAAAAGAAAAGAAGAAAAATCACAGCGATATTTTACTGCAGTGCGAACTACAGAGCTGGGAATCTCGTATTTAATGTTAACACGTGGGCTGCAAATTGGTGAGGAAAACAGTCACCACAGGACGTTGATTAATATTGGTAAGGCTATCTCTGCCCCCTCTGCTGTGTTGGTAATGGTCTTCTTGTCCTGCCCACCGCCAGCTCTGACAGGAGGATTCCTGCTAGGCCTGAAATGAGCCCAGAATGGAAGCACGTGCCTCAAAAGTGTGTGGAAAACGATCACACTGTTGTTTGCTCATTCTTCAGTGATGGCGCTCAGTTTTCAGTTTCACCCTACCAGGAGAGAGGGGGGGGGAGTAAAAACTACTCAAAGGAACACCTAAACCTTGTGGCTGTGTCAAGACTTTGATTCACTAATTCTGGATCTTAAATTGTGTACAAATAAAACTTTCCGAGAAATTTGAGGGTTAAAAGAAAAAAAAAACAACCCAACAATGCTGGCTTTATGCATGCCTGCTCGGACCAAGTGCTAATGCTGGGCTGGTATACCATGCTGGCTGGTAATTGCTAACACATGTGCTACTTCTGTCTCGTTGCAGCCGGCCGAGGGAGTTCTGGCGCCTGGACTACTGGGAGGACGATTTAAGGCGGCGACGTCGCTTCATCAGGAACCCCTTTGGATCTGCTCACTCAGAGGCGACGCTCAAAGCTGCAGCTGAACATGGTCAGTACCACAGAGTCCACTCACGCACCCCCGCCCCCCCACCACCACCACGACCACACTGCCCTGGTGTTAGCTGTCTCGTTTCTGAATCCTACTCGGTGTTAGCAGCAGATACAGGCCCGTAAAATTAGTCCTTCTGTTGCAATAAAATATTTACTATGTCGCGAGACACAATAAAAATTGTAAAAATTTCACACAGGTAATTTCAAACCTAGACTCGTATTGTGCTACGGTGAGGTGTTAAACTGTACATGTGAAGGAAGTGAAGTTGCAACTGAAGAGCTGTTTGTTTTTCTTCTATTGCATTACAGTGGCTGATGTCAATGGTAAGTAGAAATATCCTTATTATCTACAGTAATATACATGATAAACAACACAAAAAAAACAGGGAAAAAAAAACAAGATTTTCCAGATTAATATATTTTTTATTATTATAGAACAAGAGTCAAACTCACTTTGGTTCATGGGCCACATACAACCTAATTAGATGTCAAGTGGGCAGGACCAGTACAATAACACCGTATATGTTTATAAATTACAATAACGCCATGTTTTTAGATATTAGATATATGTTATTATTTATTTATTTATATCTCATGAAATAATCATATAATTTTACAAAACATCCTGAATTTGAAGTATTTCTTTTTTTCAAAATTCATCAAGTGGGCCAGATTGAACACCCTAGTGGGCAGGTTTTGGTCCACAGGCTGTATGTTTGACACCCCTGTTGTAGAATATACACAGAACCTTTAGATAAAATATTGCATGATTAATTCCTCCACGAAGTCTACGTTTATGGAATGACCAGGAATAGTATTAAAAAATGTGGTCGTTTTTTTTTTTTTCACAAACTTTTACACGACAAACTTTTGACACGACAGGTGCAGATTTTGAATAAAACATTGACTGAGAATAATGTAAAACTCTTAGCTGCCATTTTAAATGCCAAAGTCAAGGTGAAATACTGCATGAAATACTGTACATCTCTGCACTGACACAACAAGTTGTTTATCTGTGGTGTGAGTTCTGCAGATAGTTGGCAACAACACCCGTGTGTTGACCACCATCGAGGGTCAGAACTAACCCACCCGTCCGTTTATGTTTCCCATGAGTCAGCCATGTCTCACCAGAAATGTTCCAAAAATGCAGCGTCTACTTAAACCTTCTCCTGAACATCATTCTTAAAGACGAAGGCAGGTGTGACGGGAGCCAATAGGAATGTGTTTTAGAGTGTTGAGGATCTGTGGCTCCTGACTGATGCTCTGCTGACTGCAGTCGGTCCAGCTGATCCTGCTACAAGCCACGCTCTGAAATGTTGCTTTGTTTCCGCCTTCATTTCTTCTTGTTTTCCTCTCACCACGGTCACGCCATCGAGGAGACGTATCATGTATTTTTCCTGTCAAATTGTATTTTTTTTAACGCGCGTCGCGACAGATCTTTGAGATGGTTTTCCAGGAAATGTGTGAAACTCAATTTTATGCTAAACTCTTAAATCCTACGCGTTGCATATATTCATCATGAGGGGAAAAGAGAGCGAGGGAGAAAAAGAAAGAGAGAGAGTAAAAAAAAAAAAAAAATCCTGAAAACAACATGGGGTTTCAAAGTCAAGTCAGTGTAAAAATAGCCAGGAGCCAGTTGCGGCCAGAGTAGGCTACCTCAAGAGAGTGTACTGCCTGGCTGAAATATGGGAATATATCATTAAAATAACTCTCTGACATTGAGGCCTGACGGCATCCATTTTCTGATGTAACCTTTAGTCTTGTTTTAGTCGACCCGACATTTGTTGCGGAAGTGCAGCTCAGGATGAGAAGGCAGGAGTGAGTTTTCCAGCAGAGCACAAAGGTCATATCTGGCTGTAATTATATTCATCAGAGGCAGAGGAGGAACGCAGCCTCGCGCCTTGACTAAATATTTAGTATACGATCAAGCCCGAATTTGGTCCAATTTTCTAGCTACCTGTCTCATCATTTTAACTACTACTCCCATTTAATCCTAATGAACGGAAAATATTTAGCATAAATGTTTGGAGATGTATTTTAATAAGGTGGTGTTTTTCCTAACGTTAAAGGCAGAAAATGCACTAACGCCGGAGGAAAAATGTTCAACTCCTGCATTAAGGATGAGGACAACTGTTATCATTCATACGCTGCCAGGATGATTTTCGCAGCAGCAGCAGCAGCAGGGGCTGCTGGGTAGGCTTCAGTAGGCTGTTTTGTATTTATGGCTGGAAAGAACCATCTTTTCTGGGGATTGATTCTGTCTGGTCCGGGGACGCGTGTACCAGAGGTGGCAGAGTAAATACCACAAGACTAATGTCTCTGTTCTGGTAATCAATACTCGCCTCATGACCGCACTCCTGGCTACGCTCCCGTTAAAAACAAATTTGTTAATTTTGACAATTTAATTGCTTTAACCATGCACGTCTAGAGTTGTATAAGCAGGTAGTTGAGGCTCTGAGTCGGGAAATGGGGTCCTGGAAAAAAAGCCAACCTGTTGGGATTTATGCACATTTCTGCTCCCTGTGTGATGACTAATGAGGTTGAAGAGCTGAGGTATAAATATATATATATATATATATTGAACAATCTTAGTAAAGAGATTCTGCAGGGTTAGCGTTTTTATTCGACATTGCCCATTTTAAGTGCAGGATATATTTAGTTGCAAGATGTGTATTTACGCACACACACTCACTCAAAAACCTCTGTTTTACATATAAATTGCACAAAAATATCAAGTGCAGGAACAAGACGTTTTTTAAGTGAGTCCACGTTTCCTTCCTCATCTGTTTCTGGTGACACAAATATGATAATTTTTTTTTAGCAGACTTATCTTCAGAAGTGAGTCCACGTTTCCTTTATCTGTTTCTGGTGACACAAATATGAGAATTTTTTTTTAGCAGACTTATCTTCAGCGTATGTTCTGCAACGATCGTTCACTGAATGACTGTAAAATAAGTCTTCAGATATTTTTTAAAAATTATAATAAAACACCAAGGAAATTTAAAAAACATTACAAACGGAGACCTTACTGTATAACCTCCTGAATGACAGCAAATCACAGGCACGTGTCGTGGGCACATTGATAATATGCCATATATTATGTCTAATCTTAAAACTTTTTTCCATGCTTTAAACACTAAAAACGAGTCTGTTTATTCTGAAAAGTACCTGCATCATCAACAGATTTTTTTTATTATTATTTTTAGCATCACCAATATTGACCCATTTATTTTTTCATTTTAGCCACACTTACAAACATGCATGTGCTCCAGGCAGCCTGTGTTTCATACAGAGTCCAGAGAAGTGGCCCAGTCATCGGACCATGTTCCAGCCTCTGGGCTCATGTTTGCAGTTTTAGAGACAAAGATGCTGAGCTACGTCTCTGCTTCTTAAGACTCATCTGACGAGTCCCCCTGTCCAGTTGCTTGGTGTGAATACAATAGCATGTGGTATGTATTAGTGGAGCTGGTAGTAATTTCACTGCTGCTAACTAAAGAATCCTCCAGGGAGATTTAATTACAGGAAGACCATTCTAAATATCAGCGAGCCACATATTTTCCACGACAAGAGGTTTTTCTTCTTCAGCTGGGCTTTTCTACCACATTCAAAGATAAAATTAAGCAGTTTAATACGGCCGTGCTTTTTTTTTTTCTAAAGGAAGTGCAATTGATCTTCCCTCAGGTGATCGTGACAATAAATCCACTCGTGGATTCGACGACACACGCAGATAAGAGCTTCAGCTTTCACCTGGGTTGCAGGATTAGAAAACACGGCGTGCACAGAGGGGGTTAAAATCTGTGTCTGGAGAGAAAACATGCCAGCCAGTCGCTGCATCGTGGGTTTTTGGTCTGTGGATCCTCACCATGTTCCACTGGGGAATGCAGAGTTCTGTAAATGTTTGCAGATTACCGTTTTCTCAAATAATCCATTTGGAACCTCAAGCCGTGTTCATTTGAGATGAGGAGGGACAGTGTGTGTGACCCCCCTGCCCCGCCATCCTGTTCACTGCCAGTGTATTTGCATTAGCTCTGTGTGAAACACTCGAAAGAAATGTATTTGTTATGAGATTTATTTATGTCACAGTTTTGTTTGTTTGTCTGCCTGTGTGTAGCTCAGGACAAAAAAACAAAACAAAACAAAAAACGCCCTGCGCTGCACATGAGCTATTGTTTCCTGATGATCTGGGTTTGTTCAGCACTAAACGGCTGCAACTCGGCATTGACTTCATCTGTCCACAAACCAGAGACGTTGAGTTTACTGTCTCAGAGAAGCAGAGCAAACCAGAACGTGTTCACGTCGAGGAATGTGGGTCAGAGGAAACCTGATTTAATTTATCCAAAACAACCGATCACAAATCAATACATTCTTTTATTAGTTCAGTGTTTGGTTTAGTTGTTTTTTTGGCTGGCGTTATGTATTTTTTTTAACTCAGGATAATTGTAGGCAAACCAGAAATGTTACAAATAATAAGAGAGCAGTGCATGTAAATAATTTAGCAAAATCAGTAAATAAAATAAATATTTGAATATATTGTATAAATATCAAGGTGTGAATGTTGGATAATTTGGCTTGGATTTGGAGGAGAGTGTATTTTTTATTATTAGACTTTTTTTTTCTACAACACCAAAATAATATAAATAAAACTACATAAGTTTTATTTTATTCATGACATCACCAATTATTGTAAAATGTTTCACTTTTATGGTTTAATACGACTGACAAAAATGATCAATGTATTGAAATCCTTGGCACATTTTTAAAAATGCAAAAAAAAAAAAGTCATTTCTAAAAATTAAATAACTGACAAAAATAATCTCTCAACGTCTTGAAATCCTTGACACATTTTAAAAAAAAGTCATTTCTAAAAATTAAATAAAACCAAACTTTTTACCTGCAGCGTCCGAGGAGGATATTCTCAAAGGCCAGCAGTCCATCAGGAGTCACGCTCTGGGCAATCAGAACTCAGAGAGTGACTCACTGCTGGACGGAGACGATGACACTCTGTCCAGCCTGGAGGAGAAGGACCTGGAGAACTTGACAGGTAAGAAAGACCCTCAACCTCTCCCCCACTCCCATGTCTGTGGTCCCCCATTCCTGTGACTTTACTTTTTTTTTAAAGTTTTTCCTTTAGTGTTGAAATCTGAAAAAAAAAAAAAAGTTTTTCCTTTAGTGTTGAAATCTGTGTTGTTGTTGGTCGTGGATTTGAATGTGTTTTTGTTTGTTAAAATAATCAGTAAACCAGGACTGAGGTGACTGTGCATCTTCCCTGTCTGTGTGACGTCTGTTGAAGAGGCACCGTCTCCAGTCACTGCTGCACGGTCATGCGCACAGGCCTCCGCAGAAACTCTGTGTAAACACTTCCTAAATTCTGCAGACTTTATACAGCCCACCGTAAAATTAGACTAAATTATCTGATTTATAGCAAAAAATAAAATAAAAGTCGAAAATATAAATGTCATTATTGTAAAAAACCCACCAACTCCTCCTTTTCTATGTCCCCACACAAAACATCATTCACTCAGCCTAAGGCGCTGAGGATGAATTTTCCTTTAGCGTTTCTGGTTTTTTTTTTTAATCCACATAATTAAATATTATAAAGTCAGCTAATCGGATTGCAGCATAATCCGCCATTTTTTTTCATGTGCAGTGACAGTAAAGCTGCCTTTAATGGGGCTCACGCTATCTCGCCGTGCACGGTGGAGGACAGCGGGATTAAACGCTGGATGCTGTCTGGAGTGACGCGTCACACTGAGGGAATTGTGTGGATGGAGGCTGTGTATGTGTGTGTGTGCGCGCGCGCCCGTGTGCGCGTGCATGAGAGGAGGTGTTCGGCTCCTCTTCCCTAAGCAGCTGGCTGTCTGTACTTCAGGTGGAGAGACTTAATTGAGTGTCTTCTGAGTGAAGGGAGCATAAAAAGGAAAAAAATGTTATTTCAGCGCAGTGATAACATGTCAGCTCTCGCTGGAACGAGCAAATGTGGATATATATATGTGCATATATATTCATATATATATTTTCATATATGTGTGTATATATTTACATATATATGTGTGTGTCTATATATATATATTTATATATGTACATGTAGCACAGACACGACGAGAGAGAGAGAGAGAGAGTCGGCGCTCTGGGAAATCAGAGCCGGGGCTTCGAGCCCTCCTCTCTGCTCGGCGCACATCTGCAAATACAATGGCTGAGCCCGGCACAGCTTCCACCCACTGCTCCCCTGAGTCGGCTGCTGTCTTTGTCACACAGTGGCATAAATTAAGATTGATGAAGGATTAAACAGAGCTTCACCCTGAAGACCGCAATCAATGGCGCTCTCCCCACATGCGCACTGTGGATTTTTGACAATTAGAGCTCGAAGTCGGTGCCGAGTTTTATTAAAGTTATTGTGTGTAGTGTCCGCAGTCTGGAGGTGTGACCGAAACACACTGCTGGGAAGTTAGAGTTGATTTGACTTCAAATAAAGACGGGTTTGATTTTAAAAAAGAAAAGAAAATGTATGTAAAAATATGTTCCCGATGAAAAACAAATTGCGCATTTTTAATGCACTTTTGTGATTAACTTTTAACTGACTGTGTGTGTTTTACTCCTCAATAACATCCACACTATAAACATTCCCCAAATGAAGTTTTTTTTAAAACTTGTCCTCAACTTATACTGACTCTCAGATTATAATTCTTCATTTTTAAAAACATTTTTGTCAACAAACAAACATCGAGGCCACGGTGCCTGCTGTTGTTGTGTTGTTGTGTAGTGTAGTGTAGTGACCGTCCTCCCGTGTCTCCTCCAGGCCCAGTCAACGTGAGCACCAGCGCTCACATGGTGTCTCCGGCCGTGGTGGTGAAGGGAACCCTGTCCATCACCTCCTCTGAGCTCTACTTCGAGGTGGACGAGGAGGACCCGGGCTTCAAGGCCATCGACCCAAAGGTAGGAGCCTCGATCACTCACTCGATCCCCAAAAATGGGGCAAATGAATGAATGAATGAGCCGTGGCTGATGTGGAGGGCTTTAAAAACGTGTGTTTTAAAAAAAATATTACGTATCAGTAAGTTGGTTTTCTTTTGGGGGTTTCTTTTCCTGACGCAGTGTTTTGTCAGACTTTTAGGATTTTAAAGTATGTTTTGTTATATTTAGTTTTGAGCGGATTTTAAATGAATATTTTCGAAAATAAATTTAGCAACACAAAAATACAACTTATTTAACTTAAATTAATACCATATTTTGTTTTATTTTTCTTATTAACTTATTTTATTTTACGAAAATAAGCAACGTCAACGTAAGGTATTTTTTACTTTTTAAGGTGCAGAAAGTTTTTGTTCAATTTAAAAAAAAATTCTCCCATGACTGCAGACCTGTGGATGATTTTAATGTTCATTTTGTCTTGGTATTGTTATGGATCTGAGCTTCTTATATTTGTTTTAAAGTTTAAAACATTTCGACACTTTGAGTCAGCTGAACTTTTAGCAACAGGCCTTACAGAAATAGGCCTGTATTTAAACACGACTTATTTTATTTTTATTTCTAGATTTTATTACTGTAAAAACAATTTTTAAAAACGACCTGAAACAACGGTGGAAGTCCGATTGGAATTTTAGGATTGTCTCTTTACTGTCCTCTTCTCAGCTCTCCTGTTATAGGATTATTATTTTTTTACTTTTAAAAAAAAGCAACAATTACACCAATAAAACCCTGTCACCTCAGCTGTCAACAGACGTCAAGACACGAGCTCGTGTTGTAAGTTAATTTGCAACATTTTATTATCATTTCATTTTTTTTAAAGTCACATAATGAAAAAAATTGAACTTGGCACGCTACACTTCTTTTTCTGTCACTTCTCGCGTCTTTTTGTGCATATATTTAAATAAGAGTCTCTTCACTTTGTGAAAACGTTTAAAGAAAGACAACTAAAGATGAATACATTTATCTGAAAAAATGTACCTTCACTTTCTCTCTCTGGCAGTGGCCCAAATGCTCCATTTTGTCTAGTTTTCTCTCTGCGTTTTTGTTGTTTGTTTTTTTTTCTTTCTTTTTTTAATTTCACTGTTTCTGTTTTCTTCACATTGCAAGGAGGATCGACTTTGTCCTTCTCTGAAGTTTTTATCCCAGTAAAGTCTGTCGGGGATCATTCGGGTTTTTTGTTTTTTTGTTTTTTGTTTATAATTTGTCCAAACTTTTGGCATTGGTGAGGATTTCTCTCGCTAGTCTCCATGTCTGCTTAGCTGCAGCCTCCAGGGCCGAGTGAGGCTTTCCCTGAAACAAGTCCAAGTTTGGCAAGAAGTAGTGGGGACATCTGCGGCACTGCAGGCAGGATATGAGCTGCAGCAGGATGCCGTTCAGTCGGTCTCCGAGGCAAGACTCGTCCCAGTCGGTCTCCCGCGGGTGTTTCTCGCACTCGTACAGCAGCAGGGTTTTCATGTGGTAGTTGTGCAGCGGCTGCCCCGGCAGCTCCAGATGTCGGTCCCTCAGAGTCTTGAGCACCGACAGACACTTCTTCCTGCAGCCGCCCATCAGCAGCCTGTTCTCGGCCTCGCTGAACTGCAGCACCCAGGCGTCGCTCTCTGCGGAACTCTGCTTCCCCGTCAACGAGTAGCACTCTTTGGAGAGCAGGTTGAAGCCTTCAGCTTTCACCTCTGCCACCCGGTTAGGACCAGGCCACGGGATGTGGGGCATGGGCCACTGGGCTGCACTCCTGGGCCAGATCCCGGTGCACTTGAAGGCGGGCGTGATCTGCACCACGTACCTCTCCCTGATCCGCAGTTTGACCTCACTTGTGTCCGCCACCATCTTTACCACTTCCCGGTAGCTGCATTTGTCCACGGCTTGAGCCACCAGAGTCTGAAACCTGGAGCGGATCTTCCTGGCCGACAGGTACCCGGAGGCGGTGATGAACTCTACCCATAAGGACATGCTCCTTTTACGGCCGTCACTGAGCTTCAGCACCGCACAGCCCGGCAGGGAGCCGTCGTCCACAAAGTTGAAGACTCCCATTTGGTTGAGGTACAGCACCACCTCGAACTCGTTCGGAGAGATGACCTCCATCCCTTCGTAACGCGCGTCGATCTCACTGAGGGAGCTGATGAAGCGGGGCTCCTGCACCTCCACCTCCTTCAGGACATCCGACACCACTTTACAAACCTCTCTAATGGTCTTCGCAATGGCCGCTTTGCGAGCTTGGCATCTCTCGTTGTAGTATTTGTTGAGCTGGTACACCAGCTTCGCCTGCGTCGCGATCATGTTGGGGCACAGGTCCGGGCTGTACACCGGAGAGTCGCAGTAGGTTGACGGATCCAATGCTTACCGGTTAAGCCAGAGGCAAATGCTCCCCCTTGCAGGAAAAAAAAATAGTCAAATCAAAGTTTTTCTCTCTTTCTATTTTTTTTCTTCCTTTTTTTTGCAATTGGGGCGGATGGACGTCAGTGTGAGGAGGAGGAAGCGGATAGAGATGCAATGCAATAGCAGGAGCTGGGTATCAGTCCATTTGAGCTTCTCCAGCCAGATGAGGAAGAATCATATTCGGGTTCTGGCTCGTCATTCGTTGTGCCGGTCTGTAGAGACTACAACACCAGTCTGTGACCACTCATCTCTCCTCCAACTCCTCTTCTGTGCTCCGTGGCCCGGCTCACTTTCGTCCACACTCAGCTGTGAGCTGGACTTGGTGTAGTTTATGAATGGTTCCTGTAGGAAGAGTGAAAGTGGGTCGGGCTTGTCCTCCTGCAATCATGTGCAGAGCTGTCAGTGCAGGCAGCCAATCAGAGCCGCGGCATTTCGGCACAATCTCCAAGTCGGTGCAACGCAGCAGCAGCAGCAGCGTCTGTGACCGGAGCTGTCCACTGATCCGAGGTCCACCAAACGAAAAAACCTTCAGGTTTATACCAGCAAACGCCGTCGTATAGTCCGTGTTTACCATCAGTTAAATGGTTGTTTTTCTTCTCCCCCTCCGTACACAGCGCTGCTGCTTTAGCTCCAGGATTAGGATTGTAGACACAGTGAGTCACACATTTTAACTTCAGTGCTGCCTGTTTTCTGCAAACAAATTTTAACGATTCAGAAATAAACCAAACGTTTGTCCCTGTGGTTTTTTTAAAAACAATGAGTAAATTTAGTATCTCCCCCTCTGCCGTACCCCCTTTTTTTATTTACCAGTTTAATTCCTTTAATTTACTTTTATGTTAATGTTAATTCTGCTCATTTAAATATTCTCTGCCGTAATTTCGGAGATTTTCTAACATCGTGGCGGCTGGTTTTTAAAATAAAGATTAATTACAAAATAATAATTACCTGATTACAATAACCGATTATTGTATATAAATCAATATAAATTAAAATAAATAAATAACGTTCCCCGCGGCTCCGTTAATCAACCGTTGCGTTTTATTGACGCTCATCAGAAATTCACTTACTTTCACAGAGGGACTGTGAATGCACCTCAGCTCTGTGCTGCTGGAAATAACTGCCAATAATTTTGACCATTTTACTCCCGTCTGCTTCAAACCGAGCTTTAATTGGAGATGTGTAAATGATCACGGAGCCGATATTTTCTCCTGAATCTCAGGATTGACGGAGGATGTTTGTTTGCTTTTATTATTTATTTTTTTTGTGTGTGTTGCCTTCGGCTGTACTCTCTGAAAACACGCGTTAATTTGTCCGTGGTTTTAGCGCCGGGATCCTTGTCCACACACTGAATAATTGAAGCCCAGGTCTCAGGGAGGCAGTAAATGAAGTCTCCGGGTCCCCCGTGAATTTACTTTACTGCACTACAGCAGATATTTCTCCATGTCTCCGAGTAGGATAAAAAAAAAAAAAAAAGAAAAATTACACACACGTGTGCGAAGATCACAGTGGGATCCCGTGAAACATTTCGTCCTTATTTTAAATAATTAATCCAGTCCCATCACACATTCCCGCCGCTGTGGTTAATGGGGTCACGGTCATCAGCCTGTGAAATTGACTTAACTGCACATTTTTGCGACTTTAGAGACTCATAAAAAGGCTGGAAGACTTTGCTGTTTAAGCTAAAACGGTTTTTTTTTTACTCTTAAGGCTTTGTCTTTTAAACCTGCGTCTTACAACATAACAATTGCTCCAAAAAGATATATAATTGTAACAGATACATTTATTTATTTTTTAACTGTTATACCTACATTATATATTTGAATATGTATGTATATATGTGCATTTATATATGTGCGTTCATATATGTATATTTACACATACATATATGTGCACAACTATACATGTATATGTTTACACACATATATTAAATACATAGATTTACATATAAGTTTTAAATATATTTTCATTCTAAAATTTTATTACGAAACATATTGTTTTCAAATCAAATTTTAATCTTTCTTGACTTTAATGATTTCCAGAAACGTTTTTCGTGATATAAGGCTGCCAATGCTGGAAAAAAAAAATCTCAGCAAACATCTCTGAAGAGGCAAGAGTAAGTCTTCCTCCTTTCCTAGTTGCCACATCCCTCTGGACTCCATCAAATAGCCTTTTCCACAAGTGGTGATGAGCCTTTAGGGAGTGTGAAGTAACTCAAGATTAGATAGAATGTAATTACGTGGGAAGGAGCATTTGGTATTTAAAAAAAAACACAGGATGCAAAACACACGTTTACGTGAGATAACAAATGTGATATTTGTTAACGTAGAGCGGCAATAAAGTAAATATTGTTTTATTAAGAGTAAGTCTTTCAAACGCCTAGAACAATAAATTACCTCAAATAATGATGTGAAATGTCACTTCAGCTTATTCCCACCAGAGAAAACATTTGAGGGGAACATTTTGAAGTAACATTTGCGCTTGTGTCATGACATCTGAATTTGATCCTGGAGCTCCTAAATGAACTCACAATGTGCTTTTGGAACCACTTACGACCGTCGGAGAGTCGGCCGCAAGATGAGCAACAGCTGATTTTGGAAAACGCCAAAAAAGTGAACATAAGAAATTTACCATACACAGATGAGAATTAAAAAAATAAATAATTAATGAGGAAACATATCTGTGTGATGATTTCACAGCGACTGCTTAATATCAGGCTCCCCAGTCAAGAGAGATTAATGGACACCACTTGGAGAGTAGTGTCCAAATATTATGAACATCATTCTAAATGTAGCTTAATAAAGTAAATGATAGCAAAAAGTCAGGCTTTTATAAATACATTATGATAAGACCAAATGTTTCTCTGGAAAAATCCTCATTTTTAACACAGTGTATAATCACGCACACACTTGATAGAAATGGTAAAGGTAATTATTTATTTTGGCAACTGATATGGAAATGTCGACGGTGCTAAAAAAAAAACATGACTGACTGATGGCAGAAAATTGTCACAGCACGGCGTCTATAACTTTGTAAGCTTTGTTTTCGTCTTCGTCATCTTTTCATTTTTTTTAATATCAACGTCTGACGTCCAATATACTGTATATCTAATGGCAATGACCAACTGAGTTACTCACTCACTTATTCATACTTCAACGCTTCTTCTCTCCTCTGGCTCCATGTCCTAAAAACATCCAGAATTATCTGTGGTTCCTAAAGAGTGCCCCCCCCTCCCCACCCCCCGGTTTATATTTTACTGCAGAAAAGATCAGGAGCCTGTCAGGGAGCTCTTTGATCTGGGCCTGTGTGATGACTTCACAGTGATCCCTTCATGAGCACAAAACAGTGTCCATGCCTGTTGCAAATCTCTGCCAGCTGATGAGTAACCTCGTTGCATCTTTTTTTTTTTTTTTTCTTTCTTCCCTGGCTCGCTCTTCTCGTGTCCTTGTTCCGTTCCTCCTTTGGGTTGTTCTTTTTTTTCTTCCCCACTGTCTCAGCATAACTCTTCTCTCCCATTTCCATTCCCTGCAGATTACAACAACAACCCCCAGGTGGCTCTGCACGAAGATATTTTTAACTTTCTTTGCATTTTACACCTTTGACCTTTCCACTAATTTCTTTTTGCTACTCTGCGTCATGCAGTCTGAAAACACAGCCACAGCCTCTTCACATGGACTGTACATTTACACCAAAATAACACAGTCATGTTCAGGGTAATACAGTTGTAACATCACTGTGTTCCAAAAAAAAAAATCTGAGAGGTCTCTTCTTTGTGTCTGGCTCACTTATTGTGCTTTGTACTTCTAAGTGAGTGATGTCGGAGGGGGATGTCTGGGGCTTGGCATGGCTCGGTAGTTGCTCTTTTTTCCCCCTTTTTCCTTTTTCTTGAAACATGATAGCTTTAGGAAAAGTAGCTCACCGCCTCTCACTACACACTGACATGCACATGTGCTCATCGGTCGACATCGGCACACATGTGAACTGAGTACCTTTTTGATGCTCTTGTTCACACATTTTCTTGCTGTCTCCCGAAACCGGGATGGACCCAGCTGCTGCCTCCACGCAGGACTCAAAGAAAATCATCGCAGGCAACTAATTGCCTGGCAGGCTGCTGCATCTGCGCGACAGATAGAAGGAGAAGAAGAGATGAAGTCACTGAGCAGATGTGCGTTTGCCTGGGTGTGTGTTTAGGCGAGCCTTCTCTGTGTTTGGCACAGGTCATCAATATTGCATGTGGAGTTATTATTGCTAAGCCACTCTTGGAGACTGCTAATAATACTCCGACGAGGAAGTGAAACAGATGCTATTTTCAGCAGATTGGGTTAAGAAAATTATCCAAACAAAACGTGAATGGAGTTCATTAGTCATTT